TAATTAATATTATTATTACTACAGTTACTATTATTACTATTGTCACTGCTGTTTTCATCGTTGTCATCATCTTCTTCATGTTCATCATCATCAGTCAATACTATTAGCACTCACTCACTCACTCACTCGTCGAGGCAGACGACCACCCACCTAGACCCAAAGGGTCTGTCCTAGGTTTCTGCCTGGGTCTCTGTAAATAATGCTATAAGGAGTTCGGTCCAGACCTGCTCTATTTAAAAAGTGTCCTGAGATAACTATTGTTATGAATTTGCGCTATACAAATAAAATTTAATTGAACAGTGTTAATATCTTAGTGTTTAGCAAGGCGTGCAGGGCCTTTGTTTGTGCTCTTTTTTGTGATTTACATTTGGTTGGTGACCAAACCAGTGAACACTTTAATAAAACACCAAATAAAGCCTGACAAACATTTCTAGTATAAATTCCATTTATATTACAGTCAAATAGAAAGTGTGGGTATACATACTTCTTGTCCAGTGAGTGTGTTCTCCAGGGTGGCAGTGCAATGGAGCTGCAGGGTGGGCAGGGTGGGCAGGGCGTCAGACAGAGTGAGGGTGGACAGGCGAAGGGGACCCAAGCAGATCCGTCCAGTCTGTTTCAGGCAGCGCACTAAAGTACTGCAACATTACATCATATGACTCAATAAGAGACTGCATAACTCTGACATGCAAAAGTAACGAATGCTCACATCAATATTTACCAAGCAAGTCCAACCATGACAAATCTTCTAGGTTTTAGTGACTTTTTCTCAGGTTGCCCCTGTATCGCAATATATTACAATATACTGATATGTATATCCTGTATCGTGATATGCATCGTATCACCAGATTCTTGCCAATACACAGCCCTAACCCTGAACCCTTGAGGACCTGATACTAGTTTCTGTGTCCAGCACACCTCAATATCTATGACACACATGAGTGTGAACACTCACTCTGGATTGGCTGTGTTCCTCTGCTCTTGCTGTTGAGTGAATTTCGTCATGGCGCAAACAGCGCTCCGAAGGAGCTGCACCTCGATGGCTCTCTGCAGCTCAGTTGGATCTGGACTCATAGAGGGAAGGAGCCTCTTCAGATCTAACATGCACACACACGAACCACAATGTAAAAGTTTTGAGGCGAACGGGAATGTTTTAAGACTGGTGATTATGATTCTGTTTTGTTGGACAAAGATTGTAAGTACCTTTTAACACAATGACAATATTTAATTAATTATTATTAATTATTATATTAATTCATATTTACAGGACTTAAATGTTATTTTCTAGATTGTGTCCTATAATGCACATACCTAGCTTATCCTTACTGCTAGAGAGCGAGCTGTAGTCCTCTCCAGGCAGCAGCTCCAGCTGAGCCCTGCACTCTGCCAGATCTCCGTCCTCAAAGCAGCTCAGGGCCTGGATGTAGTTGAAGTCAGTCCTCAGGTTGATGCTGACTGGATTGGTGGAGTTCTTTTTGAGGGAATGGACGGTGGCCTGCCACTCTTTAACAGATGCCCAATCACAGAGTGCCAGGTAACACTGACACGCTTTGTTGGCCAGAAAGTTGATCACCTCAGGAGAGCACTCGCTGGACTTTAGCAGAACTGTCTTCCTGCTGTCACCTTTTCAGAGAAATACACCACCAGAAAATCCCACTCTTAGCAGCAGTCTTACGAGACTAAACATTAGGAAACATTATTAGTCTTTTAGAATTAGATATCCGATTGGATATCAGGAGCTGAAATGTTAACACTATTGAGCCGGTTGTCCCTATACGCCCACTAAACAAGCTGCATAGGGCCTTGCAAATTAAGGGAGCCCCTGACGTGCAGCTTTTGGTCCGTCTGTCTTCTAGGGCTGTTCTGTGACTTTGTGCCTGACCAAAGCAAATGGGTGAAATACAACTATTTATACATTTGACCAACAGGCAACAGTGTTAATAAATAGCTTGTGAACGATAACATACTACCGTGTTGTGCTTGAATGTGCGTTCCAGTGTGCATGGACAAAATGAAACTTGCTGTGTGTGTAATGCTGACTATATAATATTGTGATAACTGGACTAATTACCAGGCAGCAGAGGCAAAGCTCAGTGTTTGCATATTTTTTCATTTTATATTCAATTATATACAATTTTGTTAATGTTAATATTCACTTATCTTAAAAGACTGAAAATATTCTTTTCAATAAATACTGTTTGTTCATGCGTCATTATTTTCTGTGTAGGTCTACTTATTCTTAGATCTGACGTCTGGTTTGCTCCATCTGTTGGTCTGATAGTTTGGTAATGACAAATGGTTTACATGACTTACAGGTCAGATAGGAGGGCCCCTTAGAACAGGCCATCATTAAAGCCCGAGCACTGACCGTGTGAAAGCCCTATTGTAATTGGAAGGATTCTTGTTATTAGGGCCCGAGCACTGACCATGCAAAGGCCCTATTGTAATGGAAGGAATTATTATTGTCTGCCTCTTCAACGACATATTTGGCGGCCGCAACATGCTCGAAAAGTCAGGAAAATTTGCACAAAATTCAATCGTTCGAGAACTCGACGTATGCAATTGTCCCCGTGCACGGGCGCCGCCAAATGGCTAAGGCCTGCCCGCCAGAATCAGCCACCAAGACGCGTAAGGCGTGTACGGAAATCGGTACGCATGTTTATCGTACTATTTATTCTGAAGCAGAAAAGCCTCTTGGACCCAAACCAACAGGAAGTCGGCCATTTTGAATTTAATATGTAGTTTTACCACCATCTTTTGCCTTTTCCAGACGTTCAAACTCCTCTTACAGAATTTGTCAGATCGACTTCATATTTGGACGTTGCGCTGTAAGGACGGTCACCATGACTTTAGTTTCAGCATGATGTCACAGTCTGGATGTTAAAACTACGGCATTTCAACGAAGTAGCCCCGGCAGCACATTTACGGACACATAGAAACATTAGTGGGCAGATGTATCAGACGTACAAAGAAAGCCTCAAAGACCCACACACAGGAAGTTGGCCATTTAGACAATAATGTGCAATTTTGGGTGTTTTTTTTCCATTTTCAGCTGCAAATATTTCTACTACACAGAGAGGATCACTATATTTATGTACGACGGAGTATTAGGGCCATACTAAGAGAAAAAATGATTTTCTTTTGGAAATTACGAGAATAAAGTCTTATTACGAGAATAAAGTCTTAACATTATGAGAATAAAGTCGTAACATTACGAGAATAAAGTCGTAACATTACGAGAATAAAGTCATAATATTAGGTCTACGAGAATAAAGTCATAATATTACGAGAATAAAGTCATAATATTAGATTATGAGAACTGTCAGCCTGTTGCCTCAGCCAGCAAAACTGTTAAAGGATTAAATGATGAATACGTTAGTTTACCTGTTGACTGTACGGTACGACTGAGACAAACAGTGGCTGCTGGGCTCAGGCTG